TGGTTCCTTGGACCAGAATTCTTGCGACAACTGGAAGAGGCATGGCCTTTGCCCAAAACATTGGATAGACAGTCCGATGAAATAAAAAAGGAGATGAAAAAAGAACATCTGTTGAAGATCCACGTCGAATCGCCTGTGACAGACAGCCGGCGGTTTTCTTCATGGACTCGCATAACGCGAGTAGTAGCATGGTTGCTACGGTTTTCTGATCGCTGCCGAAACAAACAAGAAAAAACGAGTACTTGGGAACTAACAGGACCGGAAATCCAACGGGCGGAGAAATATGTGATTCGACAATCACAAAAAGAGACCTTCCCGGAAGAATGGCACGTAATGCAACGAAAAACAGAAGTTCCTTCCACATCAAAGATTTTCTCTCTCTCGCCTGTATTTAAAGATGGACTTCTTCGACTAGACGGCCGTGTTGTCAACACAGACGGATCATCATTTCAACCAGTGATTCTAGACGGAAAAAATCACATCGTGAAACTCTTCATCGATCACTATCACCGTAAAGCCGGACATCATGGTCGAGAAAAGCTCGTGAATGACCTTCGACAAGAGTTTTTGATAACAGACATCCGGACAGCAGTTCGTCGCTCTTGGAACGAATGTCTGGAATGTAAACACCGTAGAGTAAAACAAATGGTGCCTAGGATGGCACAACTACATTATTATTAACTACATTATGATAATTATAAAACTATCATATAAACACATGTAAATAACTTTGAATCATCATTTCAATAGGAGCTTTTTTAAACGTTTTGAATATTATATATTTTTCAAAAAATTGAAATTAATATTTTAAGGTTAAATGAATAACAATTTAATATCTAATACACTTTTCAAGTTATTAGAGAAACGAGAGAAATAGTTTTAAAACTAAAATTTGAAAAACTTATAAATATTAATTAAAGTTAATTTTTTGCCGTTATGTTGCTCACCGGTTGAAGTTTTAAGGATTTTAATTAACTTATTTATGGTTTTTTGAGAAAGAGGTTCTTTTTAATAATTTTATTTATTAAATACCTCGCGTACATGAAATAGCCCCAGTTGAGCAGTATGATTCAATGCATAGGGTGGTCAGCTCCGTGGCAGCCAATTTTCGAAAATTTGTTATAATTTTTTTATAATCATAGCTGTAGTAAAACCGTTTAAATTACAACTATATTATGCCCTAATGATGAGGAAAAGTGATGTTTAACATTAAAAAAACAAAATTTTTTTTTCTTTTAAAACTGATTTTGAACTTGCACAGTTACGTGAAAATCACCCAAATAAACAAGTTGTTCATTTTATGACCATTTAGCTTCCTCAATATATAAAAATTGCGGTTTTGCAAACTTTTGAAAAACTATGTACAAAAGGGTTCGTCTAGAAGATTTGTTAAAAATAAAATTATGTAAATCATTTATAAGTTGTTGTATAAATATTTGGTGAAATTTACACTTTCATTTGTCAATTGCTTCTATTTTATGATAGAATAATCATTTCCAAATATTAATATTAAATTAATTATGAAAAAAATACAAAATTTGAATTTTTTGTTAAAAAGAAAAATATTTATTAATTTTATAAATTTTGATAAAATATATACTTTGTATACATCAATCGATTCGTTTACTTGTCAGGAATGTAATTTTGAGAATAATTAATAAAAATATTAACAAATAAAAAAATTATTTCAAAACATACAAAAGAAATTTTTTCTGAATTTTAAAAAAATTGTATATAAAAAAATTTTGTAGATATTTTTGAAAATCCTTGTGTCAGATTTTAGGTATTAATGACTGCAATGAACCTGCAAAATTTCAGGACAATCCATCAAAATTTGTATGAGATAATTTGTACACAATTTTTGTGACATACATACACACACACATACATCTGGACATTTGCTCATAATTGAATATACATATGTTCTAGATGAAAATGAGTCCATATAACCTTCTTTTGAAAAATTGAAAATCGTCACTAATGCAAAGCTTCCTCATGAGGAAGCAAAATTAGTGTTGCATTCGAAAATCTCTCCTTTCATAAAAGAAAAAAACAGAAAGGTATTCATTTGTTTATACCATATATTTTTTACGAGATTCCCATTTTTTCGAGCGATTTTTCGCTCGAATGCAACACTAAAAAAATGAACAGCAATTTTTTACCTACATGAATAGTCGGCAGATAAAAACACCTGGCAAAACCCAAATAATATCTCAGATGTTAAAAAGTATAACCTGTAAATAATATGTTACGTCTGAACAAGTCTTTTCCAATATCTGTAGATATTAAATTTGAACATCTAAAGATGTTTCTAAATTTCACTGTCACAGATATTGACCAATTATATATATTGACAGATATTGGCTATGTCCAAGTTGTGAAATGTAAACAAACCAAAAGGTAAACAAACCAAGCACGAAAATCGCAATTTTGCGACAGCCGATCGTAAATAATACAGAAAGTAACATTTTTACACTTTCTTTACGAAAATGGAAAATTAGAGTGTCAAAGTTTCCAATGAAATCATTTTTGGCCATGAGCAAATAAAAAGCAATTAGTAAAATAACTAATTAAAATGACCTGTAAAATAGCATTTTTGACGCGTCACGAAAATAAAACTGTTTGACTATATCAACCGCACGGATGATGAAGAAGTTCCAGAGAGCGATTGGACGTACAACATGTGGAAAGAGAAATTTTTCCTTTTCCTCCGTGTTATTACAAAATAACTAAGTTTCATTCAAAACAAAATGTCCACTTCTAAATGGTGCTGTCAATGCGTTCTTAGTACGGTCTGCTCATGCACAGAAAGCAACAGAGTTCACGTCGCGAAAAATTAAAGTGTTTGACTATATCAACCGCACGGACGATGAAGAAGTTTTACCCTTTCCCCTTGTAATAACACGGAGGAAAGAGAAAAATTTCCCTTTCCACATGTTGTACTTCCAATCGCTCTCTGGAACTTCTTCATCATCCGTGCGGTTGATATAGTCAAACAGTTTTATTTTCGCGACGCGTCAAAAATGCTATTTTACAGGTCATTTTAATTAGTTATTTTACTAATTGCTTTTATTTGCTCATGGCCAAAAATGATTTCATTGGAAACTTTGACACTCTAATTTTCCATTTTCGTAAAGAACGTGTAAAAATGTTAATTTTTGTGGGAGAATCTTTTGGTTTGTTTGCATTTTATAACTTGGACATAGCTTTAATATCTATAGATAATAAAGCTTAATATCTATTTTTCTCAGTGTAAGAGTTTATGGGGTCGCTGGTTATAAAGCTGAAGTCAGATATAAAAAATTTTAAATGGAAATCACTTCAGAGAACATTCTTAGAAATATTGTGCATATTTTTTTTTCATTTCCTCCAAATAGGGGAGCGCACAGTGGTTCAAAATGCAAAAAAGCTGGTCAGAATTAAAAAATTAACTAATTAAAAATTATTTTTTTTACTTTTAATTTGGTGAGAGAAAATGTTAATATACAATAAATACGTGCTCAAAGAAAAAAATTTGTTTATATAATATTTTTTCAATAAGGTCAAATGTTGCTTTTCAATTTTTGATAAATGTCTTATAGCAGGATGAAAATTAACTTGTTATCTAAAAAGGTTGAAAATCTTTTAAATTCAATTGATTATGACTGTTCAAAATGTATTTGAAAATAAAACATATATACCATTTGACTATATATTTTTTATATATAATAAAGTTAATACTAAAGTTAGCATCTTATACAAACAAACCTCTACAGTTTATGTCAAATTAATAAATAAACTTTATAAATTGTTGACAAAAAGTATATTTGTTCTACACTGTTCAGTTAAATAACTTATTATGATTTATTTTTCATGCATTCATTTTACAAATGAAAAAATATTCAACTGCCCACAGTTGCCCCTACGATTTTTTTTTTAATTTTGAAATTATCTTGAAAGATTTTTAGGGTTATAAAATGGACTTGAATGCAAAAGGTAAGTAAAATTTAAAGTTTTAGGGTAAGTCCGGGGGAGATGGCCATAGTTTTTTTAAAGGATTGTAAAAACTAAAAAATAGAGATTTTTGTAAAAACTTTTATTGGTAATTAAACATTAAACACTTTACTTTGAAGTTATAAAAGTTAAAATAAAATATTTTTATAATAACAATCTTAAAATTTAAGTTTAAAAAAATGCATTTGGCCATCTCTCCCGGAATGTCCGGGAGAGATGGCCACATGTATGCGGGTGAGATGGCCAATATGTAATTCTCTTTGGCTACTAGCTTTAACTTATTTTTAAGTTAATTACATTAATTTTCTCTTCTTTTTACCGCATTCTGAACACTTGTCAATGAATTCAGTGCAGTTTTCATGTAACCAAAAGTGGCAAACACTGCACTGAATCCAATCTTCTATTAAAGACGTTTGGTTGTAATTTTCACCACAACCTACACAGACGTCTTCTTCCTTGGAATCAATTAAATCTATTATTTTATTATCGAAGACATTTTTAAGGTTGTTTCTTTTTTTTACATCAGCTTTTGCTGTAATTTTTTTATTTTCTTCAGTAGCGATAGCCTGCTTTTCTTTCTTGATCTTTTTGCATTTTACTTTTTGGTCACATTCTACATTCACTTTTTCTTTTTTAATCTTCTTGGAAATTACTTTTTTATTTATTTCTGTTTCTAATTTTTCTTTTTTCATTTTGTTGGCAATCACTTTTTGGTCTCTTTCTTCTTTTAATTTTTCTTTGGTCTTCCTGATTGAAATATGTTCTTCAGATGTTAATATTTTCCCAAGTTGCTTAGCCCGTTTACGAACCTGCTGGATACATTTTTTTTCAATAGGAGACAATTTTTCTAAAATCTTTGATGGACTCAAATTTTCATCCTTATTTTTTGAAAGAGATTTTTTCGAAGAACTTGGAATTATTTCTGAGACCTTAGAAACAGTGCTAATAGATTTTTCAGGTTTTTCACGAGATTTCCTGTTTTGATTTTTAGAAGGACCTGGAAGAGTCTAAGAGATTGACTGATTTACGTCAACTGGAATCTGAACAGCAGTGGTGACTTCAGTAATATTTTGACTTTCAGAATCTGCAAATCCTTCAAAGAAAGCATGGTCTGGAATTACTGCTGGATTGAAAGGAAACACTCCTGTTGCTTTAAAGCTAGAAATTGCATTTCCTGGTGTAGCAGCTTTTATCCAAGCCTTGTTAAGTAGTTCTCCGAAGAACGATCTCTTAATTTGACGATTAGGATGTTGATGCAGCCAAAGTCGACATTGTTCATAAAAATGAGTCTTCAAGGATTTAAATACCGAACGATCTAACGGTTGAAGAAAATGAGATGTGTGACTAGGCATTGATATTAAAATTATATCATTTTGATTTGCGTACTCCAACATTTCCACAGAATTGCAATGAGTTGAGTGACCATCTAGCAAAAGAACTACTTTTCCAGCTGGTTTTCGTGGAACAAAATGAATTTTTAGCCATTCTAGAAATATATCTGATGTTATATATGCTGATTTTTGAGACATGAATAGGATTGATCCAGAATGCATTCCGTCTTCAAATTCTGCTTTTTTATTTTTACCTTTCATAATGCATGCGGGTGGTAAAAACGTTCCTTCAGCATTGCAGCAAACTATTACAGTTATTGTCTCTCCTTTTTCATTTGATGTTACAGTAGACACCGCTTTTGAACCCTTTTTTGCAAGCACATATCCAGGACGATTGTTTAACTGTAGGCCTGTTTCATCCATATTGAAAATTCGATTTGGCGTCAGTATTCCATTTTTGTCTAGTAAAACTTTCTCAAGAAGATTAAAATATTCATTCACTTCCAAACGGTTCATCGCTTTGGCTCTCGCTAAGGAAACTCCTTTGGATTTTCTTAAAGTAATTCCTTTATTTCTATTTAAAAATAAATTCAACCAATCATAACCTGCCTGTTCAGTTTCTTTATTAAATCGGTGATTTAAATTTAACTGTTCCGCAAACTTGAAGGCTATTGTTCTTACATCATTAATAGTTAAAGGAAATCCTTTTTCCTGTAAGTTTATAATATGAGAAGCCAGTTTGCTCTCATTTACTTCCCCAAAGATAGAAGCCGGTCCTAAAGGCCCTTTTTTATCATTGCCATTCTTAACACGTCTCTCTAAGGTTTTCCGTGGAATTTGGTACATGTTAGAAGCCGCGTAAACTGATATTCCTTCATTTTTCACAGCGTGTATGGCCAATTTTAAAGACTGTTCACTCCACTCGGCTCTCACATTAGTGATTTTTCTTTGATATTTATTAGGCATCTAAAATTAACACAGAAAAATTAAAATAAAAGTAAACAATTAAAAGTTAAATATAACATTTTATACAATTAAAATATTAAAAGAGAAAACGTTAATAAAGATTCCTAATAGTAAATATTTATCAGTAATACTATTTATTTTTAAAATTATATATTTAACTGTTTATGAAAAATTCAAACATATTTAAAATTATTTTTGCAATAGTGCGAAATTGTTTTATTAAGTAATATTTTAACTTGAAAATGTTTATCAGAATGATACATAGTAATTTCCACAATAAAAAATGCATTTCTCAACCAAATTAATTTTTTTCATGACTTTTATAATTTAAAAAGCATGGCCATCTTACACCGACAAAACATGGCCATCTCACCCGATAATATAAGTCAAAAGTAAACATTAATTATTAAATAAATAAAATATTTTGATCTTTCATTTTTAGGTTATATCAAAGCGTGCGTTATGTACTATTTAAAAAATCTTGAATTTTAGAAATCGGTTAAAGAATAAGAGTGTAACAATGAAAAATGTGAATTTCTCCAATTTTTTTAGAACCACCCAAAAAAAATAAAGAAGGTTTACACTTACTTTTTCATTTTTTTTCAACAATTTTTTGTTTATGTTTACTTTCTGTCACGAATTGCAGAAGAATAACCTAAAATAAGCGCCATCTGCCAGCGAATTCTGTAAAATATTTGAATTGGCCATCTCTCCCGTATGGCCATCTCCCCCGGACTTACCCTATATCAAATACGAAAAAAGTAGTCAGTACTAATTACAAAAGAATTTATATATTTTAATAAAATAACATAAAATGTTAATTTAACCTCATAATTTATGTTTTTATAACAAAAATAAAAGTAAGGTACGTTTAACCATAACCAATAGGTTAAAAATTTGAAATTTTTTTTTAATATTGAATACTCATTGATAATAAAATTTTTTTTTTCAGAATTTATTGATAGAAATGAAGCAATAGGCTCATCGAGAAAGGAAATATTTTGTATATTAAAGGACCATCTAAATGAAGGCGCTATTGTGGCATATGAAAGAATTGAATTATTTATGTCTGAAAAATTGCAATCTCCCTTTAACTTGACAGAATCTCTTAAACCGAGTATAAGAAAATTGAAATTCGAACTTTGCAAAAAATGGCAACAGGCTAAAATGATGGCAGAAAGGTTCTTTAAAAATTACAGTGGTTATCTCGATGTTTTCATCTCTTTCAAAGTAACTGATGAAGTAAAATCGTTTAAAAAATGTAAAGCAGGTCGTCCCAAATCTGAGTTTGCAAATTCGAATGAAAGATCAAAGCAAAGAAGAACTGAAGATCTTCGCTCACAGGTAAGCACTGAAGAACTATCTTATGCGACACAAATGAGCTTGAGAGCAGCTAGAAGAAATGATGCTGCATTCGTTGTCAAAAATATTACATCAGGTAGTCCATCAGTAGCTAAAAAATATTGAAAATCTACAGACCCAGAAGAAGAAAAGACTCTTTCTTGTGCTTTATCAGTTATGATCGAATTGCAGTTATCTGTGGGACAATATAGAAGTTTACGAGCGGTGAGCAAAGAGAAGAACAGTAAGCTTTTTCCTGCTTATAATACCGTATTAGAAGCTAAAAATAAATGTTACCCACCTAAATTAGCTATTTCGGTAACAGAAAGCAGTGCTGAAGTGGAATTACAAGCTCTTCTAGAACATACGTCCAAAAGGATTTTACAAACGCAAACAGATGTTATCAAAAACTTGGATGCTAGAGATGTTCGACACTTAAATTTGATCTGCAAATGGGGTTGTGACGGTACCTCTGGTCAAAGTGTCTACAAACAAAAATTTAATGATGACGATGGAAGAAAATCAGATGCCAACATATTCTTTACTTCTCTAGTACCTTTGCAACTAAAATCCGTTAATAATGGAGTAAACACAGGTATGGTGGTATGGCAAAATCCCAGAACATCTTCTCCTCGTTTCTGTAGACCCATAAGAATACAATTTGTACACGAAACAACTGAGATCACTACCAAAGAAAATGAATACATACAAGAAAAGGAGAATCAACTTACAAATTTCGAAACAGAACTGGATGGAAAACAGATAAATATATCGTATACACTCGCTTTAACTATGATTGACGGAAAAGTGTGCAATGCAGTCACAGAAACGACACCAGCTCAGCGATGCTATTTGTGTAATACAACAATTTCGCGTTTCAATAATATTGACGATCTTTTAAAGATTCCAATTAAACAAGACTTTTTATGTTTTGGTTTATCTACACTACACGCGTGGATACGATTTTTTGAGTGTCTCTTACATTTATCTTACAAACTTGAAGTTAAAAAATAGCGAGTAACCAGTGCAAAAGACAAAGAAAGTGTAGCTATTCGTTCAAAGAAGATAAAAGAGCATTTCAAATTACAGTTAGGGCTTATTGTTGATCAACCGAAACCTGGATGTGGCAGTTCGAACGACGGAAATACTTCTCGAAGATTTTTTGAGAACTCAAGTATTTCTGCTTCAATAACAGGAATTGATGAAAACCTAATTCACAGGATTCATGTTATACTGCAAGCAATTTCCAGTGGATTTGACGTGAATATATTGAACTTTCAAGAATACAGTAGGGATACTGCTCGTCTTTTTGTGCAGCTTTATCCATGGTGCTACATGGCAACAACACTCCATAAAATTTTAATTCATGGAGCCGACATAATAAATTCATCTATATTGCCAATTGGACAAATGGCAGAAGATGCCCAGGAATCGACAAAGGGACCATCCATAAACCACGTAGCTCCGATTTTTTAACTTTTCGACCCCTTCCCTCCCCCACGTAGCTTAACGTAGCATATTACCGAACCCCCTCCCCCCTACCTAATGGAACGTAGCTTTTTTCTTTTTTTGAATATTAAAATCTCTTTTCTAAAAATAATCAATAAAATCGTATTGAAACATAGTAAACAATATTAAATGTTTTTAAATCACAGTTTATTTTTTTTTACAAGTAAGAGTTTGATACAAGATTAATTCTTAATTTTAATCATTACACGGAGAAAAATTTTCTGTTAATGATTACAATAGTCGAACAGTACTGCTCGGATATGTGACCACTTTTCGTAATGCCTAAAGTAGCTTCTTTGTAACAATTCTGTAAGTCGAACGTACTCATTAAAAATTTATTTGAAATAAATACGAACTAAATATGAGTTAGCACAAAGTCTATGTGACTGATTACAATAGTCTACGTTAAAAGGAAATCTTGGATTCTATCCACATTTGCAGCAATCTAAGGGAATCAGTGATACAGTCTGTAGTAGTCTTTACAACAGGACTATTGTAAAATAAGATGACCGCGGCTGCCTTGCCTTCTTATTTTACTATAGTTCTTCGTAAAGACTACTATTGCTATATTTCTGATAACAAATGACTGTTGTAAAGTTAAAAAAGAAAATTTTCAACTAAAATAAATTTTTTTTGCAATTCATGACTTCTAATCATGTATTGCACATTAATTTCACTCTTCCAAGACTACCCACTTCAAGATTAATTATATTATTAAACTAGACAATTTCACTAAACCCTAAGTACATAAATCTAACTTAAATACTTAACGCATAACATAATAACGATCGCTATTTACACATATTTATACATGACTTAAACTTCCTTATATAATAACTGCTATGAAAGTTCACCGCTTGCGAGAAAGACTTATACACTTTAAATGTAAAAAAATCACTTCGTTCTTAATAATTAATACAATTATTGTTCATTGTTAGTCTTTAATATTGTAAGGTCTATTTTTTATTACATTTCCATAGTGAAAATTTTTTTTCTAACACACGCACCGAAGGTACAAGATTTCTTGCCTGTATAAATTGTTATATAATTTACACAACTTACGTAAGTTACATAACTTACGCAAGTTACGTAAATAACAAAAGCAAGTTACATAAATAAGTAAGTTAATTTACGTAAATTACGTAAGTTACGTAAAATATAAGTTGCGTAAATAATGTATGATACGTAAAAATATAAGTTACGTAAATAACGTAAGTTGCACTTACGTAAATAACTTAAGTTACGTAGTAGACGAATTATTGTAAATTGCACTAATTAGGTAACTTACGTACTTTACGCAAGTCATTAATTGCAAAAAAAAATTATTTTAGTTGAAAACTTTCTTTTTTAATTTTACAACAGTAATTTGTTATCAGAAATATAGCAATAGTAGTCTTTACGAAGAACTATAGTAAAATAAGAAGGCGAAGCAGCCGCGGTCATCTTATTTTACAATAGTCCTGTTGTAAAGGCTACTACAGTCTGTATCACTGATTTCCTTAGACCGCTACAAATGTGATCAGAATCCAAGATTTCCTTTTAACGTAGACTATTGTAATTATAACAAGTCTCTGCGTGAATGCCTACAGTACCCTTTCTGAACCTGTACATCTAAACTATTAATGATTCCAAAAAATAAATTTCAACACGATTAATACGGTGTTTGGACTCATTAAAGTAACTGTAGTAATCGCTCCTATTAAATTCTTAATAAATTATATAGTTTTCGTAATCATTACAAAAAGTGGTCACATATCCGAGCTGTAATATAGACTATTGTAATCATTACGAAAGAAATTTTCTCCGTGTATATGTGACCTGGTCTATGAAAAGGGACCTTACGTGTCAAAAAATCATGTTTTTACTTTTTTGTTGATTCGGATAGGGTTTGAAACACTCTTTAAGATGGTGAAAACCAAAAAGTCATAGGTTGATTAGCAGTTTTTAAAAAAAAATTTTAAAGTCAAAAGAAACAAGAGTAAAAATACGAAAAACTGATTTTTTGTTATTATACAAATTAAAATAACAAAGACGATAATTGTCAATTTAACATCATATTCGTAATCAGCGGCCTCGAAAACACTTACAAACATGTGTCACTTATTTATACTTATTGTTGCTAGTTAGAAAACTTAGATTATTTTTTCTAT